CAATCCTTCAGAAGACCAAAATGCGACTTCATTACAGACCGCGATTGTATTCTATCATTCTTGACTGATACAAAAAAGAAACACCAAAGCCTTAGAAAAACTAAACTCGTGCACCCTGCTGACGAGAAAAAAGTTTCAAAGAACTTTAGAAATGGAAGATCTCGCGAATCACCATGGATGCTTTTGACAATTGGTAAACGAGGTACATTCCAGAACCCTTGCTTCAAATCATATTATAGTCATGATATCGGAATCCCCCTGAATACAAGCTTTTCTGTGAACAACACCACGACATCCGGGTTCTGTCTAACGTGTTCATGAACAACATGTTCAGCGGATGCTGCAATTGACTTTTCTATCATGATAGTCTCAGATTCGATTCCCACAAGGACGAGCGTGCAGACTATCATAGTCGCGATAGTCGCGACCGCGACTATATTTATAATAGAGGTGTAGCTCTGTCAGAGTCGTGAAGTTAAAAAATCTGGTCGCCGTCTCTGGCGTTCTTTGTTGTGATGGAAGCATGTTGTAGTGACAGCCAACCTCTGTGGAAAGTGTAGTCAAACGGCTTCGGATCGCTCTTTTGGATATCTTTGCACATTTTCGAGACGCTCTGGCTCAAACCTGATCCAGTTGTCGATCATATGATACTTGTCCCACCGCTGCGATTAGTTAGAACTTGTTATCCGGCATGCCAACCAAGTGCTTCGCTATATCCGCCTTGCTCCTCACCTGCCTTTCGGCCGTATTCTCGTATATCGCCAATGCTTCTCGCACTCCGATCTTCTTTGCCGTCCGCATTAGCGCTAATCTCTTCCCTACATCCGCTTTTTAGGCGTCCACGACTTCTATGCGTTCACAAGCAGCCGATGCTGATTCCGACCTTCGCCCTATCAAAAGCAAAGCTCTCGCCCTCCTAGCCAAACGTGCAGCACAGATTCTGTTTCGCGTTTGCTATATGCATAACTTGACATCGTGTCTTCACTTACTAGCCAGACCATTTTTGCCTTGGATTCTCCGGCTTCTCTCCGATCTCTCCGTCTGGTGTGTACGTGTTCGCTTGCATGTCGTCGCAAGGTTCCATATCTGCTCCTTTTGCGCCTTTGAAACTCAGAAGTTCTTCTATGAGTAGTCTTGCCTCAGATTGCGACATACCATGCATTTCCTGTCGTTTTTTTTGTCTGACATGCATTTCGTCCCTTGCGGTTTTCGTATCGCAAGAGTGCAAACATCTACATTTTTATCATCGGCGACACACTTTGTATCTATGTAAACTTACAGTCATAGCTTTGAGTGTCCAAATTGCAAGTACAACGTAATATGTACTAGTTAACGCATTTATTCTCGTACACTTTTGCTCGGCAATCCGCGTGGACCGTTTTCTAGCCTTGCTCGCTTGATCAGTATGTTGTCGATTGCTCGCTTGATCAGTATTGGGCTGTTCTCGTAGCGACGAATTTTCATTCGGCGCTTTTGC